TCCACCAATGTAAACACTATGGCATCTGCTGGCCCCAGGAGATCTTGATATTGTCATAGGAAGATAATCAGAGCAGCTTTTTTTTTTTTTTGAGAGGTTTTTGCTATAGGGTGCGTGTGCTCGCCAGAGAGAGACAGGGAGACAGAAAGCGAGAAATCACCCCCCAGGGGGGACGGCCACGCCACAATCCCTTCTCCTCCATTCTCCTCTCGGGATCTTGGGCATGCATGCACACGTGCCTGGCGTGAGTTTAAGCTACCGGGTCTGGGACACAAACCACCATCAACTACGTGGAAGTTTAACGACATAGCCATTACGCTAACTGCTGATCCAAGAGCAGTTTTGACTGATGGCTTTAGATAAGAGTTATCCCACAGTCTTGGCCACACAGTATCTTTTCAGACTTGGATTTTTGCTAGTGTAATAGATTATGTCCTCATTTTCATTTCTCTCATTACGACAAAGGTTAAGCTTCTTTTCATGTGCTTAAAATCCATTTGTATTTTCTTTTCTGTGAACTGTCCTTATCTTTTGTACAATTTTATTTTGGCTTGTAGGCCTTTTTCTTATTAATTTGTAGAAACCCTTTTATTTGTGTTAGAGAAATTACTCCCTTATTTGAGATGTGAGTCACAAATATTTTTTTTTTGCAATTTTTCATTTGTCCTTTGACTTTGACGATGGCTCCCTTGATCATGCAGACACTTTCAATTTTTACCTAGTCCAGTTTACTAGTAACTTTTTCTGTTAATTAAAGCTGTTTAAATTGAGGATACAACTTGTATTTGTTATGTGGTTGTATACTTATGTTGCTTCTTACATTGAAGAATATTAATACTGGGACCAGCAGGTGGCATAGTGGTTTTTTTTTGGAGAGGTTTTTGCCATAGGGCATGTGCACTCACCAGAGAGACAGAGAGAGACAGAGAGACAGAAAGCAAGAAATTGCCCCCCAGGGGGGATGGCCATGCCGCAATCCCTTCTCCTCCATTCTCCTCTTGGGATCTTGGGCATGCATGCACATGCACCCTGGTTTTAAGCTACCGGGTCCGGGACTTGAACCGTGGTTGACTACATGGGAGTCCAGCAACATAGCCATTATGCTAACTGCTGGTCCCAGTAGCATGGTGGTTAAGGTGCTGGACTTCTACATGGCTGATGGTAGTTCGAGTCCTGGACCTGGTGGCTTGAAAATAATGCCAAGCATATGTGCACGCATGTCCGAAATCCCAGGAGGATAATGGAGGAAAAATGATTGTGGCATGGCCATCTCCCCAGGAAGGAGGTGATTTCTCAGTTTCCCTTTCGCTCTCTCTCTGTCTCTCTCTTTTCTAGTGAGCACACGTGTCCTATGGCAAAATCTTAAGAAAGAAAAAATATTAATACTGAATTTGGAAATTGTCTTTGATTTGATTGATAGTTAGTGAAAGTAGGAGGATAATGGAGGAAAAATGATTGTGGCATGGCCATCTCCCCAGGAAGGAGGTGATTTCTCAGTTTCCCTTTCGCTCTCTCTCTGTCTCTCTCTTTTCTAGTGAGCACACGTGTCCTATGGCAAAATCTTAAGAAAGAAAAAATATTAATACTGAATTTGGAAATTGTCTTTGATTTGATTGATAGTTAGTGAAAGTCTGTCTTGTGTAGGAACCCAGCTTGTCCAGCAATCAAATCTCAGTCAATATAAATAAGAAATTAAGTAGTCTAAGGTAAATGTTAGACAGTGGCTGAAGCACAGGGTATGTGAGAATATGCCTAATGCAACTTAAGCTGAAAACTGCTTCATTATAGACTAGCATTTAATTATCTCAGATATTAGTCAAATCTTACCCATTGCACTATTGTCTGCCAAGAGTTGTTCTACCTCTATAATCCAAAAGGAATGGGTTGGAAATATGAGAAGGAAACCAACAATCTTAGTTGATGCTATACAAATTTCTGTGTTATATACATGAAGGCTAAATGAAACGTGAACTATTTTGTGATCAGATAAAAAGGAGTTCATTGCTCAGTTTTAGAGATTTCAGGGAAATATGATGGCTATTATCTCCAGTAGCTTCAGAATCTAAAGGCTCTTAGATGCTGTTATTTGAAGGTTTAAAAGGTTTTTTACATGTACTTGTAAGCAGAAAATGATCCCATAAAAATAAAATGTTTAGTTACCTCCTTTTAAATGCTAGACAAATAAACTGAGGATATTACTAGATTATGTATTACAGACATAAAATGACATTTGCGATTTCACCTCTCCTTCTCCTTCCCATCTCTCTCCCCCGCTCCCTCCCTCTATCACACACACACATGCACACACACGCAGAGACAGTTCAGCACCACAGATGCAGTTATGTATTTGAAATCATGAAACACAAATAGGCCTTCCTCTAATACTGTGTTTACTTAGCTTTATAGCAGGATACAAGTCAAGCAAAGTTGATACAGAATCAGGATTCATTATTCTTAGACAAACATTCCAGGCTACCTGAGCGCTACGCTACTTTCACCCCTTACCCGCACGGGAAAAGACTGATGCTAGCAATGAAAGCAAGATGTGTGTAGGTCACCTGAAATATCCCTATTTCCAATCAATCTTTTATACAGTGTTTCGTCATATACGCCCAGGGCCTGTATTCCAACTCACAGCTTTCCTGAATAAGGTATAGTTCTCCACAACAAAGGCAGTCCAAACATGTCTGATTCATTTTCAGTTAGTGTTTTCAAGGAAACATTGTTGTGAAAGCCTAGGGGAAGTCCCAAGCTGACCCACATTAGCCCGTGCTGGGTGTTAACCCTATACTCCAGCATTCACATGCATTTTGCATAACATGGGTAAATGTACTTACAGCATAGTACAATGTATACATTGCTTACCTATGGTAAGATTTTTGTGGAAATTCTCTTCATCAGTCAGTTAATTGGCTTAGTAATTTTCATAGTTATTTTATCCACGAATGTATCCGTTTTTCTTTGTTTTTTGACACTTGCATGTCTACGCCTCTTTAGCACTATCCACCATTGCAAAGCCATGGAACCAAACCAAATGGCCAAGAGTAGATAAATGAACTGATAAAACACAACACAAGCCACAAAATCAATGAGACCTGCCATTAGACCCAAAAGTAGATTAATACATATTTAATGCCAAGTAAGCCAACAATGAAAGACAGACATTGTGTTTTATTTTTATTTTTTATATTTAATCACTGTGTATTATTACAACATACCAGATGAATTTTTCACCCCACAATCCCTGGGTCCAGTTAAGGAACATTATATTCATTAGTGAATTCTTCAAAAAGTATCTAAAACAATTGTTCCAAAATATGTGGCATTTAGATTATGCATTAGATATTAATGTGCTTATCTAGTTTACCTTTAAAACATTCTCTATTATTATTCATACTATCAGAATGTTGTTATTTAATGGAGTTATATTTTATTCATATTATCATATAATATTATATATTAAGTCATTGGGAAAGTCATGACATATTTTTCTATGCAAAAATGTGTCATAACTTTCCAGACAACCCAATATATGTTATTAGAATAGTATGATTAATAATATTGTAGAGTTGTCATTATAAGTTTACATTCTCCCAGATATTAGTTTTAAATATTTGATATTCAGGAGAAAAGGGCTTTAGCCTTGTTTATCCTGGCTATTTATTTACAATTGAGCCTGAACAACAATCACTAACACTTAATGACTCTATTGTCATTCACTATCATGCAGAATATTGCTTTAATCTATTTTCATGGATTATTCAGTCCTTACAGTAACCCAAAGAAGCAAGTACTGTTATTGTCTTTAATATAGAGAGAAGCATTAAGAATTAGAGAAAAGTGAGTGAAAATATTGAAGAAGTCCTGGTACCAGGATTTAAGTCCAAACAGCCTACCTCTAAACTCCATAATGTTTAATACCGTATCTTGCTATTTCCTGAGCTATTAAAATTTCTATGTCCCAATGTCATCATCCATGTGAAATTGGAATAATAATAGTAGCTATATGGATGGATTAAAGAAAGCAATGTGATACTCCAAGTGTGATGTCTGGTGTACACTAAGCCCTTAATAAAAATAACCTATAACCATTCTGTCATATTCTATTCTAATCCACATGTTCTTTTTACTTTTCATCCCAATCATCTGCTTCTGATTTACTTGGTTATACTAAGGCTTGTAAACTACAGCTTACAAAAATGCTTACCTCATCAATTTTCCTCGTGCATAAGAGGATTTCATTGTACAATTTTCCTTAATATAAAAGAAATCTAGAAGCAAGTATAGTGGGAAAAGCGATTGTTAAACAAACAAAAATTATAGATTGGTTTGGCTTGAATTTTATGATGCTCTTGGAATATAAATCATTCTGTCGAGATTTAGGAGATGTGTGTCATACATCTGGTACTAATGCTGAATACCTTGGCTTATTCATTTTTGTAACTACAAAGGCAGCATGTCTGGCATATAATACGCAACATACCATCATGTGTAGCATGTGTAGTAAGTGAGCGGGTAAAGAAACAATGTGCTCCCTTTACTTTTATCAATGGGGGGTGGGTGTGTATTTGTGTAGGTGTGTATTCTGAAGTTCCAAAAAGGCATTCATGTCTTTAAAAACGTGTCAATTTTGAGGAATATTATGGAGTGATTTCTAATATATTAACTAAATCCTAACATGGAGTGTATGTAAGTAACCAATATTATGTCCTTTAAATAGCAAAATCCATGGGCCGGCAGGTGGTGTGGTGCTTAAGGTGCTGGACTCCCACAGGACTGACTGCAGTTTGAGTCCTGATGCCTTGCTTTCTCACTTTCCCTTTCTCTCTCTCTCTGATCAAATTTAAAATAAATAATGAATAAAAAGGAAATGATTCTTAAAAATATCAAAATCAGTACATTTGTATAGCTCTTTATGAGAAATCACTTTTGAAAATACTTCTTAATGTATTTTATTAATACCCTGGGGACTATTTACCTATACTTTTTTTTCCTTACAGGTTTCCAAAACTTTACCCGAGAAACAAGGAGAAATTGAGGCTCGCATAAAAGACCTTGGGCAGCTTGAAGAGCAGTTAAATCATCTGCTTCTGTGGCTGTCTCCTATTAGGAATCAGTTGGAAATTTACAACCAACCAAATCAAACAGGACCATTTGACATTAAGGTAGGGACTTTTTGCATGAAATATTGTTTTCCAGAAGAAGAGCAATATCACTGAATTAAATTTCTCATTCATTATCATTATAATCATTGTTAAAGAAAAAAAACTCAGTACTTGTTAAAGCACAATAAGGAAGACTTTATTCCAGAACATCTTGGTAGGTACAAGAACCACTGCAACAGGATCTCACAGTAGGAGAGAAAGATTGGGCTTAATTTTGAATATAGTGAAGGAAAGTGGAAATTTATAGCCAAGGAGCAGGGAGGAGATCAGCAGATGAAAAGTTACTAAAGGAAATATCAGCAGGGAGGGGGAGATTCTGGGTAACAGGATTCTTGCTAGAGACAGGCCAGGGTGATCAGACAGCTTCTGGGGTGGGGGGAAGGTCCAGGGTTGTAACCCAATCAAATATCAGGGATGATCAAAGATAGAGGATGAGAGATTCTTGCTAAATTGCCTTAGCAGAGCTTTATCCTAAAACTGAATTTTATACAATGCACAGACCAGCCTAGGAGAAAGTTCTGACTAAAGTTTGGCCAGCCAGCAAATCTTTCTCATCATCATTGCCACTGTTGTTATCATTATAATTTTTATTATCTGACTAGCATTTTGTTTTTTCTTCCAGCATGTACTAGAAATAATGTCTTCATTAAATTCATATCACTAGGATACCTGCATCATATTTGTTATTATGATCCATTTTCGTCCCTTTTTTAACTGCACTTTATATAAAATTGAACACATTTTGGAAAGCAGATACCTGGAAAATAATGTCTAGTGAACCTTTACATCCTCTCATTCTACCAGCAACCTCCCCTTACACTGTAGCTGCGTCAAATTCTATGATAACGTCACCTCCATGTGATTTCGTGCCATGCCTGTGTTCTTTTCTCTTCTTCAAATGATTTCTTTCCGTTGATTTGATATGATATATTTTCCTCCATACTTCAAGAGTGAATTCAAAGTCATTTGTCTCCTCAAAGCTTTCCACCCTACCCCAAGCAGAGTTTGAATCTGTGTTAGGATTTCTGATCTACTTAAAATTTTATATATCTGAATACTTCATTATATTGCTTACTGAGTATGCAGGGCACCATTTTTTTTTTATCTGAGTTCCACCATTTCCTTCCAAACACCCCCTAGCCTCAGGACCCAACATGATGCTCTGTTTTGCATCTCCTAATGGGAGAGAATCTTTTTTTTGTTTTTTTTGTTTTTTGTTTTTTTTTGGGAGAGGTTTTTGCCATAGGGCGCGTGTGCTCACTAGAAAGACAAAGAGAGACAAAGAGACAGAAAGCGAGAAATCACCCCCCGGGGGGATGGCCATTCCACAATCCCTTCTCCTCCATTCTCCTCTTGGGATCTTGGGCACGCACCCACATGCGCCTGGCATGAGTTTAAGCCACCTGGTCCAGGACTCAAACCGTGGCTGACTACATGGGAGTCCAGTGACATAGCCATTACACTAACTGCTGGTCCCTATGAGCTAGAATTTTTAAATAGCCATCAAATAAACAAATTCAATGGAAAGCACAACCTACTTTTTAATGTAATATTTGGCAATTTCAGACTAAAAAAATATAAATCATGTCTTTGAGTAAAGTTTTCCTTTTAACTCAGTAACTGAAATTTTAAAATGTATTTACTTACCAGGGTTATAAAAATCTAACTCTTTTTTTCCCATTTAGTTGACAGTTTGGTGGAAAAGAGAGCAGAGAGAACAGGAATTGTGAGAATCTTCTAGAGAATAGAAAATGAAAGTTTTGGAAAGATGGGCCTGAGTGAGAATAAAAAGAGATAGGGACCAGCAGTTGGCATGATGGCTATGTCATTAGACTCCCACATAGTCAACCACAGTTCGACTCCCAGACCTGGTGGCTTAAACTCACAATGGCGTGTGTGCATGTGTGCCCAAGATTCTGAGAGGTGACTTCTCACTTTCTGTCTCTGTCTCTATCTTTCTTGTGAGCGCATGCACCCTATAACAAAAACCTCTCAAAAAAGAGAGAGAGAGAAACAGAGACAGAGACAGAGAGAGAGAAGTTTGTTACAACTAAAATGAGTTACATTTTCAATATTTATTCCTTTATTTTTAACTTACTTCTCTCTAATATTTGTATCTACCATCCTGATAGCTACCAGAACATGCCATTGTGTACGTCACAAGTAGATCACCTTTTGCCATTGCAAAACCAAGCCTGCTCAGCCACTGGCATGGTCCTGACTTTAGTCTGATGATTAAACTCATAAATCACAGTACGTTTTACCCAGCAACAAATTAAGATAGCTCTAAGAAAATGTGCAAGGTCCAGCCTCTGTGGCATAGGTGGTAACATTCTGGACCGTTGAACTGGAAGCCACATGTAGACCTCCGTTTGACTCCCTATCTCAATTAGCCTGAAAGACATACTGAGTATCTGTATGCACATGCCCAAAATACCAGCATGCTAGAGGAAGGAGGTTGAGGCATGACAGACCTCTGTGGAAGGTACCTCTCTCTGACTGACTCTCTCCCACATGCACATGTGGTCTATAATGAATTAAAAAAAAAGAGAGAGAGAAAGCAACAGTACATAGGATGAGTAACAGCACAGACTGTATATTAATGGCACAGAGTAGGTTTTGACTTTAAGGCATGCCTTTTGATTGCTCTAGTCATACTGGACTCATGTGTGGTCACAAGGGGCAAGTCTGGATAAGTGCTAAGCACATCATCAATTCAGAAAAGCCATTCATTCTAGGATCCCTGCAGTTTTTCTATCTCCTCAGAGGTATTTTACTACTTCTTATTCACCAGTACAACTCAGGCTCACCAATACTGATTTTGTTCATTACTCAATAAACAATTTGAACAGTGAAGCACAGTTACTTGGCCCAATACACAATATCCTCAGCCAGATTCTCAATTATCTTGGATACAGTATATTCTGGAAAAGTCCTTGATTTAGTATTGCAAAGAGGAAAGGCCATAAACTTTTTTTCTCCCAATCAGAAATAGCCTTTGGTAACTCACAGATAAAAGCACATTCCTTTACTTTTTAATATAATCTCTGGTTAAGATGTACATCTTCATCAAAATAATGAAAAATATACTCAATACTAGCTAGCTCTGTTAGTGGAATACATTTAAGAGAAAAGATAACAAAATCCTCTGACACAAATGAAGCCTGCCTGTTGACTCAACCACAGTGACTTTAGTTCCCAGCCTGTGTCCCACCCACCATTGGTTCTCAAATATTGAAAATCCACATTGGGTCTTTCTCCATGGCCCATAGGTTTCTGCCAAAGGGGTTCCTGCAGTTTGGAGTGAAAGCCACTCTCAGCTGTGTTAATCATTTTCCTTTATCAAAGCTACAAGGCACTGCTCTCACTGCTGTGTGTAGTTTCAGAGTGTCATGATACTCACCTCCTGCAGTTTGGTCTAAATCACCAAGGGGAGAGGTAGCTGCTTTATCCCTGGCAGGAAACTCCTTGGCTTCAATCCTCTGTGCATATTCTGAGTTTTTCATCTCTGGAGTGCAGATTTCAAAAATATTCCATTAGCCTTTTTCTTCAGCTTGTAGCTGTATCCAAGGCAAAAAAAGAACATAAAACTATATATATGATAACTTGAGAGTTTCTCCCAATAATTCTCAAACTTCTAGCTTCTACTCAAGAAGTGGTAACCTCTGTGAATGATTTAATATCTTACCTAGTTCTTTATCCCTCTTTGTCCAGCTTCTTTTTCTATTCAGTGTCTAATAAATGATTTATTAAGATTGCACAGAGTTATTCTGCTTCAAGATATGGGATTTTAATCTTTATAGCTAGTGTAGCCTTCTTTTTAAAGAGATTAAACATTTTTAAAATGAAAAAAAGATGGGGAAGTGGTCTTTGCATAACTTTAAACTACAGAAATACCAAAAATAAAGTTGGTAAACAATTTTGAGGACATACTAATTTTTTTAACACCATAAAAGGAATGGCCTTTATTTATTTATTCATTTTTAATACCCAGAGGACACATGTGCTCACAGAAAATAATGGGATAATAAAAGATAAACCATTTCCAAATGATCCATGGTCACAGTGTAATCTTTTCTCTATTTCTCCATCCCCTCAGGATTTGAGGCAAGGACATACATGTGCCTGGTATGTTTTTCAAGTACCCAGGGCTAGGATTTGAACCATAATCAGCTACATGAGATTCAGCTCCATAACTACTAGGCTATGGGTTCAGCTACAGAACTGCCTTTAAAAAGAACTTAAGAGTGGGCTTGTTCCATGGTCCGGTGGTTAAGGCAGCCAGATCCCTCATGGCTGAGAGACAGATTCCCTCATGGCTGAGCACATGGTTTGAGTCCAGGCCCAGAAGCTTGGGAAACGTGTGAGGCATTTGTGTGTATGTGTTCAAAATACCCAAAGGAGGAAGAGATAGAGTAGAGAGGATTGTGGCGTGACCATTGCCCATTGGAGGGTGCTTTCTCTTCTTCCTCTCTCTCTGTCTCTCTGTCTCACTCTGGCAAGTGTGTGCACCCTCTAGCAAAAACAAAAACAAAAAAGCTTAAGAGTTAATTAATGCAAAGAAAGTAGAAGCACCCAGGCCTCTGGTGCCATTTCCTAGAAAAAAAAAAAAAAAAAAAAAAAAACTTTCTTCATCCAGCCATGGTGAACATGGCTACCCCTGAAATGAAAAGCCTGAGGTCTTGCCATTTGATCATTTGTTTCCTCAAGTCAAACCCTGAGCACCTGTTTGAAATATATGTAATACCTTCTGTGAGCCTCAGTTTTGCCTGCTTGGTACTTTATGCTTATTGATGAAATGCAGCTAGCTGTGTAATGAAACCCAAATAAAAAAAAAAAGCCTTAAGGGCTCTGTTCTAATACATTGTTTATGCTGGAGTGAAAATTGACTGCACATTGCTTGGTTTGTGCAATTTACTCCCGAAATATTCCTATTCAGGAAATCCTGCAAATAGCAATATTCATCTTGAAAATCACCTCACAGAACCCTTAGCAAGCTG